TGGTACTGGTGGCTCTAGGGCAGCAGAGACAGTGGTCAGTAGCCTGACTCCCTGCTACCTGCCCCACAGCCCAGTTCAGAAAGGGCCTCACCTGGATGGTGTCAAAGACGAACTCCTTGGTACAGTAGGTGCAAGGCTGGGTGCGCTTGGGGCACTCAGAGGTGGCATGCTGGGCCAGCAGCCGCCGCATCATGCGGGCACCACACTTGTTCTCACAGTACACACTCTCTTGGGGACACACGCCCTCGTGGCTCTGTGGAAATGTCAGAGGGGCTGAGTTAAGGGATCCCCAGGCTACCAGGTGCCCCACTCCCTCTCTACCCTCAGCCAGACCCCACTCACCTCAAAGGCCTCTCCACTGAAGTCACAGCCACAAAACTCGCACTTGAGGCGCCGCTTAGGGCAGTCGTGTTGCAAGTGTGCAGGCAGATCTCGGCGGCTCAGCTTGGTGGGGCAGCGATTGGGGCAGGGGACTACATTGAAGCTGCAGGTATTCAGGTGGCCCTGGCAGGAAGAGCTGTGGTTAGTGCCTGCCAAGAGAGGGGCAGTCCCCACCCCATCTGAGCCTCACCTGTAGGTGACGAAGCGGCCCACTCCAGCGGCAGCCCTCCTCACTGTGGATGCAGCGGATAGGCAGGCCCAATACCTGTACCTCCAGCTCTGGGTCCGGGTAGATCTGGGGGCGGGAATGGGGGAAACAGGTCAGGGTCAGAGCCTGCTACAGTCCCCACTTCCTGCCTCCTCCACCCCCAGATAGGCTAGCTCTATCTTAGAACCAGCCACAGTCTCTCCTGGGCTTTATTCCCCTCTGTGCCCAGCGATAGGGTAATAGAGTATCTGCTCTATTGCTGGATCCCAGGGTCCCCAATATGCCTGCACATGACCATCAGCCTGCTTAGTTGCAAGCAGCCCTCAAACCCCCTGCCTCCTTCCCTCTGGTGGAGGGGTCCTGGCCCTCAGCCACAGGTCTGGCCAGCCATCCAGAGGGGAGGGGAGCACTTCTTGTGGCACAGAGCAGCTCTGTGTACCCCCACAAGCTGGGCATTGTGCCTGCCCTCCGGGGCAAATACAGGCCTCATTTGCAAACTGGCCTGGTGGGAGGGAACAGGCCACCTTTGTGGGGGCACATGATTCGGAAGTACTAGGTTGACACTGGCCCTGAGCCTACTGGCTGCCAACCTCCACCAAGGGCAAGAGCTTCTGCCTGGCTCTGTGGACCCACCTTGGCATAGTCCAGAGGAAGCTGGTCCTCAGGGCATTTGAAGACTCCTTCGCTGAAAGGAGAGGAGACAGGGTCAAGACTCCACACGATAGCCCCGTGTGGCTCCGTGGTTGAGCGCCGACCATGAACCGGTTCGATTCCCCCAGGATACATGCCAGGGTTGCAGGCTGGATCCCCAGTAGGGGGCATGCAGTAGGCAGCCAATCAATGATTCTCTCATGGATGTGTCTACCTCTCTATTCTTCTCCCTTCCTCTCTCTAAAATCAATAAAACATATTTTTAAAAAAGAAAAAGAATTGTGTGTTTAAAAAAAAGACTCCACACTATGGGAAGGGAGAACCCCAGGCCTCACCCCCTTAACGAGGGCAGCCTCTTGCCCTCACCAGACCGGTTCTGAGGCAGCCCCACCTGAGGGGAAGCAGAGTCCTGAGGGTACCGGCTTCCCCAGGACCCCAGAAAATCCCAGCTCTTGTCCTGGGAAGGAGAGTTCTGGCCCAGTGGAGGCGGAGACAGCTGCCTCAGACAGCATTTGGCCAACAGGTGGCAGCTGGCACCCCTCCCCCAGGATGGCAGCTGGACTGGGAAAGAACAGGCTGCCCAGCCATCCCCTCCCCCCAGGTTAGTTTTCACTGGCCTGGGCTGAAACCTGCCGGGGGGGGGGGGGCGGGGAGCAAGGTGAACAGGGATAGGCGGAGATTAAGTGCCAAAGCTTCCCAACCCCTGAGGGTGCCCAGCCAACAACCATGGGCAAAGGTCAGCTTGGGGCCACTTTACCCCATCCCTTCCCTCCCTCTAACGAGGGTGTGTCTCCTAAAGCAAAGAGGAGGAAAGCCTCCCTCCAAGGCACTGTGTTTACACTCCCAACCACTCTTCACCACTTGTCTCTGAGAAGGGGCTGAATATCCCGTTTTGCAGATGAAAGAACAGAAGCTACAGCTGAAGCAGCACCTGGCTATGTTTGTCTGAGTCCACAGCTCTGACAGGTTCTGTTTTACGGTACAGCACACAGAAGAGGGGCTAGGACAAGAAAAACTGTCCAGGCAAGCACCGCCAAGACTCTGCTCATGGCACTGCATGCAATCTGAAGCCTGTTGATCCTGCCCGCTGCCCGCCCTCTCCTCCACCCATCCCCAGCAGGCTGTTAGCACTCAAGGAACCTGTGAGCATGCCTCCTTCCGCCAGCAAGACCTTGCTGACCCCAGCCAGGACCAGTTACACCTGGCATGGCCTAGACAGAGCAAGGGCTCACCCAGCAGGACTGAAGGCCCTCGGGCATGGCATTTCTGGCAGATGTAAGTCATGTGGGAGGCAGGCAGGAATCAGAGCGAAGCAGAGGCCACATGGCAGCCCTGTCCATAATGTCCTCTGCAGGACCTGGGCAGTTCATGCCCCAAATGCCCAAAGGATTTCTAGCACTCACCTCCTCTCCCTGACCCCACCACTACCACTGGCCATGCCACCAAGCAAATACATGCCCAGGCACTGATGAGGTATGCCTATGCCCACAGGGCAAGCAGCCTTCCTGGACCAACCTGGCAGGAGTGGGGAAAGAGGGGTGGGCCATGGGGGAGGGGGTCTGCTTGGCTGCTTAAGGAATGTGCTGACTTTATGGTTTTGGAGACAGGGAGGGGACTGAGGCAAGTCCCCGGGCTTGGAGCAGAAGATTAGCCCGGGGCAGCTTGGGGCCCAGCCAGGACAAAGGTTCCGTCCGTGCTATGGACACGCTTGCTTGTATGGTATCCTGCGGTGGTGAGAGGCAGAGCCTGTCCAACCACCTCTTCCCTCCTCCCTCCAGGGGCCTCAGCTGCAAGATTCAGGCACCAGGGGAAAGGGGGAGGCAGGGGCAGAGACTGCTCCAGGCTGTGCAGTGGAGGCCCAGGCCCAGGGGAGAAGACAGGATGGGGGGAGGGGGCAGTGGGAGAGGAAGAGGGGATTTCCGGGAGGAGGAGGGGCAGAAGCAGCGGAGGGGCGGTGGAGGAAAAGGGGCCTTGCAGCCCCTCCTGGATCCTTCCTTGAGGCAGTGTGTGTGTGTGTGTGGGGGGGGGGGGGGTCAGTATAGTGGGGGGGGGCGGGGGTCAGGTTGGGCTCATCTGGAAACCAGAAGGCTGGGAAAGGGCATGGAGAAGACAATGGGGCTGTGTGTCTAGGGGAGAATGTGTGTACGCTGAAGGGAGGAGGGAGGAGGGAGGAGGGAGGGGGTGGGGAATAGGAGGAGGGGGCAGCACAGCAGCTTGTGCAGGAGCATATGTGAGGGCAGGAGCCGGCCCAGGCTGTGGGGAACGGAAAACAAAGAGCCTGCTGAGATTTCCGCCTGGCTGGGGGCTGCAGGACGGACGGAGGGACGGAGGGACGGAGGGAGGGAGGGAGGGAGGGAGGGACAGTGCACTGAGGCAGGAGTCCTGGCGATGCTCTCCTTGCCCGCACCCTCAGCAAACAGCCTCCAGGCACATGGCAGTGCCGGACCCAGCCTCCCTGTGATCGTGGACAGACCTCCCCACACGGGCCCTGGGCAGTTCCCGGCGTGGGCAGGAGATTCCCGACACAGGGCGCCCAGAGCCAGGTGACCTGGGTCCTCAGAGAACAGGGGGCGTTGGTGACACCCAGGGTGCGCCCCCCTCCCTGAGATCAGAGGCCGTCCGCGTACTCCGACCCCGGGCAGCAGGGCCACCCACAAGGTTCCCGCTGCAGAGATCTGAGCGCCACGGCCCCCTCCCTATTGTGTGACCGCACAGCCCGGACGAGATCCCAGCTGAGCCTTAAACTGTGACCACGGGCAGGTCGCAGCCTTCCCTGAAGTTCTCCTCCCACCATCTGTGAAATGGGAGGGCAGCTGCCGTTCCTGCCACGTTCGGAAAACCCAGGGGTTCGCCGGACGGGTGGGAACTCCGGAAGTTTAAGGTGCAGCGCGGGAGGGAGGCTCTGTCCTCCTCCTCCCGGGACTCAAAGTTCAAGGATGAGGCCACAGCGGCTCCCAGGTGAGGGGGCAGGGCCGGCCCCGGGTCAGGAACGGGGCCTGGGCCCCGCCACCCGCAGGGAGGTACCGAATCCTCCCGACCGGGCGCGGGGGCCGGGGGCACCGCCACCCTCCGGGTCAGAGCGCGGGGTTCTCCCTCCGGCCTGACATCATCGCCGCCCCGTGATGTCACGGTGGCCGCCCGTGAGGTCACCGGGCCACGGCGCAGACAAAGGTCCGGCGCGCCTCCGAGCTGAGCTCCTATCATGAGTCAAGCCCCCTCCCCAAGTCCCATTATGAAAGATGTTTGTCCATTGTCTGTTTTACCAACCATAATTAAATGTAGACTG